AGAAATGATGAAAAACACAATTTTATCTCAGGTTTTTTGTCCAAAATAAATTTAAATATAATTTTTATTTTTTAAAGGTTTTGGATAAACAAGCATTTTCTAGATTGAGTAATTTATTTGTTGCTAAACCAGAAAAGAGTCAGGCTATTGAAAATATGATTGTTAATATGGCTAGGTAGTTTATTTAATTTTTGTGAAAAGAGGAGGGGGTTTTAAGAGGAAGGGGTTTCCTAAGAAAAAATGTTAATAGAGAAAATTTTTTAATAATTTAGTGAATAAATTTAGGGAATTTTTATTAATTTATGATAAAGAAAATTTTTCATTATAAAAATTAAAATTTTTCTTTTTCTGTTCTAAATGCCATAATTTAATTTTTATATTTGGGAAATTTAAAGAAAATTTTCTTTTGAATTTATCTAGTTTTTTTTAACAATTATTGAATACTTATAGATTACATAATTATTTTTAAAATATATTTTTCCGTTTTTAGTAAAACTAATCTCTAAAATCCAGAAAATTTTTTAATTCTGAAATAAATTTTCTTCCAAAATTTCTTTTCCTAATAATTTTTTAGAAGGCCGTTAGTTTCCATTTTTTGTTTTTAAAAACTTAATTTTATTGATTTAAATTGCTAATTTAAATTTAAAAAATATTTTAATTTTTTATTAATCCATTTCTTATTTTTTTAGGATGGGACAAATTCGAGGCAAAATGACTGACGAAGATTTGAAAAAACTTTTGGACCAAATTGCTGTTAAAACATCAAAAACTACAAAAGTTAATGTAAAATAATTTTTAATTTAATAAAAATTAAAATTATTTCCAAGTATGATCGAAGAAGGGCGGCCATTGATTCGGACGATGAAGATAATTTAATTGGTCGGGGAAAGAAAGGAAATGGAGAAACTTCTTCAGACGAGGATTAAAAATATTTGCTCAATTTAAAGTATAAAAAAATTAATTTTGATTATATTTTTGTTTAAAAAATATTTTTTCGAGTTTTTGTTTATTATAAATTGTCAGAAAGTTTTTCAGATTAAAAATAAATTAAATAAAAATTAAATTCCGGTGCGGGGAATCGAACCCCGGCCGCCTGGGTGAGAACCAGAAATCCTAACCACTAGACCACACCGGATATATTAGCTCTATTTAATTATGCTTATAAAAAGTGTTAATTTCCTTTCTTTAAATATTGATCTATTTACTTGAGTGATTTAGGTTAAACTTAGTGAAAGTTTGTTGGGAAAGCTAAATAATCCAATTAGTATTTGAAATGTAAAGACAAGTTATTTTTTGTTTACATTTCTAAACTGAATTTGTTGTTTTGTTAAACATTTGAATGGTTTTGTTTGCTAGTATGCAAAGAATTTTTTAGATGCTATGAGTTAAACTAATAATCCCCCCTTACTTTATCTTTCTCTTATTTTGTAAGTAAAACTACAATTATCAGAATATTAAAATTTAACTCATTTTTCTGATTTGTAAATATATGTAGTTGCTAGATTTTTTAAAAATTATTTCCAAAAAAAATAAAGAATTAAGGAGGTATGTCGATCTAAAGTTAAAGTGAGTTTCTAAAATTGGTTAGAACGAAGCCAAGATTCCTTTATTTTTCTATTGTTAGCTTCATTTACGCCTGTCCTATTAAATTCTAATTTTTTAAAATAATTTAAATGCCAAATATTGACACAAGAGATGATAGAAAAATTAATGAAGCAGAAATATTTTATTTTTCAACAAAAATGGAAGCTGATTTGGGGCAAATATGTAATCTTGCATGTAAAGCATTACAAGTTTATAAAAAAATGAATTTAAATAAAGTTTGATAAATATTTTTTAAAGTTAAATAAAACAGAATGGGAAATTGCAAAATATTTAAAAATGACTTTGGAAGAAAAGATCCCTCCAAAATGGGATGTTATTGTTGGTTAGTAAATTAATTAGTTTATTTTAGAGTTCGTCGAGAATTCTAAAAAAATACCGGTGAAGATATCGGGATCTCATTCCTGCTCACTCTCGATTTACTCTAATTAGAAATTTAATCAAAAATATTTTAATTTTAAGGAAAAGCTTTTGGTGCATTTATTACTGTTGATGCAAGGAATTTTATGCATTTTAAAATTGGCAGAACCTATTTTGTTCTTCATAAACTTTGAGGGCGATAAATAATTCTTGAGTATTTCTAAAATTTATGCTTAATAATATAATTTCCCCTAAACTCCATTTAAAGCTATTTGATCTAAAAGTATTTTATTTTATTAGACACTAAGGATCGAATTATATCCAGAATAGAGTTATAGTTTTCGGGTTAATTAAGTTATTTTTTCAGTTTTTAAAATATGTAGGCAACAGTGAAATTTTGCAAAACATCCAAAATTAATTTTTCTATAAATTTTGGAATTTTTGATTTAATATTTGATATTTTACGATTTATTTTGTCTACATAATTCAATTTATTAACCAAAAATTACAAACACCTTTAAATAATTTAATTAACATTATTTTGAATATATAAATGTTTTACATTCCTTAAGTCTTATTTTGTCTATTTTGCGAAAACATGCGCTCAAACATTACTAAAACTCGTGCCAGTCACTCATGATAAAAATTTTTGTTTTAACTATTTTTAAATAAAAAAACATTAACATAAATGTCAACTAAATAAAAATAATTTTTTTGTTTTTAATTAAAATAATATTTAAATAAATCTTTTATTTTAAATAACAAATTAATTAGTACAAAATTTATTTTATTTAAAAAAATGTTTTACAAAAATAAAATAATTTGTACGTAAGGACAGCTAAAATAATAAAAGAAAGTATATTTTTAGAAAATATTTAAAAAGATTAAAAATTATTTTTAAACAAAAAAAACAAACGTAAATTAATTTAAAAAGCTTTATTAGCATTTTACTAATTAACACGCAAATATTCGTCATTTAATTTATTGCAAGTTTATTTACATTATTAAATATTAACAAAAACTTATTTAAAAACTTTTTTAATTTAAAAACAAATTTTTTCGTAACTAAAATTACGTAATGTTTTTACTAAAAACAATTGTTTTTATTTAAATAAAATTAGCAAAAAAGTTTATTTATTTCTTTGTTTTTTGCAAAAATAATTCTTTTTTTATTCTCAATTTGTGATTTGGAGAAATTGAATGATGTGTAATCTCACCTCCAATATTTAATAGAAGTGCGTGACCAAAAAATATAAATTATAGCTCATTTTCGTTGATATGAGTCCAATGATATATAGATATCTAGCTAGAATTTGTTGTCTACATATATCTGTTTTATAATGACTACTTATATGTCAAACAAATAAATATATACTAGTTCTGGTCGAAAAATAAAAATATTTGGAGGAATTTTAATTATTTAAATTATGTATTAACGGAGAGAAAGTTTATTTTGGTTCTTTAATCTTTGTTTATCATGTTAATTTAATTAAAAAATTAATTTTTACTTTTAATTGTTGCAAAAATTAAAAAAATGTGAAAACGCCTTTTCTTAATTTTTATAGGTTCAAATTAATTAAAAATAAACTTTTTAATCAATCATTTTTTATACTTAAAGACCAATGATTTATAAAAAATTTCCATCAAAGAAATAATGCGCAAAATGCAACACTTAAATAAACGACCCTTACTACCGCTGTCCATTTAACCAAAATTTTTTTAAAAAATAATTTTGTTAAATGGAATTTCATTTGTATCTCTGCATGTTTAAACCTAGCTAATAAAGCTATCATCGAATGGTATCAAAATAAAATGTTAAAGTACTTTTACTTTCATTTTTGGTTTTGAGATAGATTTGGGATTGGACACACATTTTTAATAAATAATACACAACTTAAACTAGTATGGACTAAAATAGAATAAATTGCTCATTTACTTTTTTTTAATTTGCAAAATTATTAATAAATATTTATTTAATATTTATTTATTTTAAATTCTTAGTTTTAATATAGACTTAACTTTTTAAACTTTTAACTTAACTTCAAATTTATTTTGTCGTAATATTTTGTTATATTTTGTTCTGCTTGGATGATTGAAAATCAAAATTTAACATTTACTAAAGAAATTAGAGCCTTAATGTTATTATATAAGTACAAGTTTTTGTTGTTGATTTTTCTTTAAAAAATAGGAAATAAATTTTTAAAAATAAAATTTATTAGTAAATAAAAACAAAAAATATATTTTTACATAAAAACTTTTAACATTCTCTAAAATGAATCAGATCGAGACAAAAAAACAAAATAATTTTTTTCTGTTTTTTGGCTTTTTGCCTTTACTTTATTTAATATTTAACCTTTTTATTTTTCTTAAATGTTGTCATTTTTGTTTTTTCAAATAATTATTATAATAGAAACATTTAAATAAAAACATTTATTTATTTATTTATAACTCCACCCATTTATTTTATAAAAATAAAGCTAATAAATAAAAAAAATTTTTTTTAAAGAAACGCCCTTAGAATTAGAATATAAAAACTTGGAGAGAATATTTAAATTAGGCAATACATATATCTTTTTAAAAATTCAAGTCTTCTTTTGTTTTATAAATAAATTGTTAACAATTAAATAATTACTATTTTGGCATTTTTTAAATAGTTGGAGAAAATAATAGGCTGTGATAATTTTTTGTTAAGTTATTATCTCCTTTAAAATGGTCACTGAGGATCCAAAGAGTTTTTTTATTTTCCTCTATTATAATGCCACCCTCTAACGGAATACCACCCCCTAATAGAATGCCACCTTTGGTGGTGATTGAAAAATAAAATGCCATGGCATTCTAAAAGAGGAATTACGGTATTTTACATTTCATTTTTTGTGCTGGATAAAGGAAAAAAATGTTAAATATGATAATTTTATAGGGTCTTACCCATTATTTTGAAACAAATGGTATCATTTTCTTATTTATTTTTTGTCGAGTCCTTGATTTTAAAATAATTTCAAGGTTAATAGAGAATTAATTATTTTAAAAATAAAATTATTATGCTCCCATTCCTTCTTTGGCTATTTATTTTCTCATTTATCATTTGCTTTTGGAATTTTGTTTGGAAACGTCTTTCGCTTCCGCCCGGCCCTCTACCCTTACCTCTTCTTGGAAATACTTTAACACTTGCACATTATGCTCCTGGTTATGAAGCTTATAAAATTTGGGCAAATAAATATGGCCCAGTCTATACTTTGTGGTTGGGAGAAGATCCAATAGTTGTTATTTCTGATTTTGAGTGTATGCGTGATACGTTTGTTAAAGCGGGAGAGGCTTGTTCTGGCAGGCATTTAATGACTGCAATTAATAGTGTTTTGACGGGTTTGTTTTTTAAAAAGATTACAATAATTTTGCATAATGACCAATTAAGAGGGCAGTTATTTCCCATCATTTCTTAAAATCTTTTCAGATTTTATAGAAATGTACAACGGGAAAGAATATTAATTGATTGAGCTAGGAATAAAGACTGATCTGAAGATTCAATATTGATCCAAGATCTAACTTTCAAGTAACCTTTCTCTCGATTGCCGATATTTTTGAATGAGATTCCATCTCTGCTCGATCTTTAATTAAAAATAAATACCGAAAATCTCCAAATTCTAAAAAATCAAAATTTTTCATTAAATTAATAATTGCAGCAACAAACGGTAATTATGGAGTTATCCGAACAGAAGGTGATCGTTGGCGAATAATGCGTCGATTTACACTTCAGGCAATGCGCGATTTGGGGATGGGAAGAAGCAATTTGGAGCAAAAAGTAAATTTAATTTTTAAAGTTTACTAAAAATATTTTTAGTTTTTTGACGATTTTCAACAACAAATATCAGAAACTTTAACTAAACAAATTGAACAGAGTGTAGATGGGTCAGTAATTACCCGCTTAGATCAAATGATTGATATTTTGGCTGGTTCTACAATAAATCAAATGCTTTTTGGATATCCCTTTACTGAGGTATTATTAAATATTTTTAAGGATAAAAAATTATTTTAAGGACAAACTCAAAGACTTTTACAATTTAAAAGAAAAATTAGAACAACAACGTTTAACAATAACAACAATTAGAGGCCGTTTATTAATGGGAATGCCTTGGCTAAGATATTTTCCTTTATTTAGTTCTACTTTTAAAGAATTTGATTCCCAAGTATCTTCAACATATTCTTTTTTTGAATTTAATATATTTGAAAGAATTAAAAAAAGATTTAATGAAGAAAATAATGAAGAAACAACAAAAGATTTGTTAGATTATTTTTTGGATCAAATGGAAGAGGAGAAAGTAAATGGGGGTAAAGGGGAATTTAAGTAAGTTCTTATTTTTGATTTTAATTGAAATTCTTTGGTTTTGGTTAAAAATTAGTTGAGTTTTTAATTTTAAATTTCGATTCTTTTGAAGAAAAATCATTTCTTAATTTTGTTTAGAATAAATAAAGTAATTTTAAAAATTCTTTGATTAACATATTCACCTAGATATTTTAATTAAAAACCTGTTTAACTTTAAAGAGCAAATATTTGTAGAATTATTTCTAAAAAATAAAATTTAAAAAAATATTTAATATAAAAAGGCGAGACCAATTTATAGGAAAATGAAATAAAAATAATTTATATTATAGTATGTATTAAAGACCGGAACTCGTAAATAAAAATTAAAGGAATTTTGTTTTTATCATAAAATCTTTAAAATTTATGGCCTTTACTTTTAACTTTATTTTATAATTAAAAAAATAAACAAAAAAAATTATAAAAAAATTTTGTTTAATTAAAAAATATTTCTTTTAAAGTTTAGAGAATCTTCGTTCACTTTGCTATGATCTTTTCCTAGCTGGCCAAGAAACAATATGTATTACTCTAAACTTTTTGTTGTTATATCTTTTACTCGATCAAAGAGTTCAATTTAAACTTCAAAAAGAATTGGATGAATTTAAAGAAAGGCGTAAATATTTGCAAGGAGAAAGGCATTTTAAAATGGTTGATCGTTCTGAATTGCCGTATACAAATGCTGTTATTAATGTAGGGAATTTAATATTTTTGATTAATATTTTTTGAAATTATATGTATGCATTCTTTTTATTGAAAGAAGGGCACATAATGCAGGAAAATTTTTAACCGTTTGACAAGTTTTCAGTAAAATCTTGGCCAAGAAAATCCATTAAAAATTGCACATTTGCTAGAAAACCCAAAAAAAGTCGGTAACCATAACTCGAAAAACATCATCTCTCCTTCTCCAGAGCATTTCCTGCCATTTATGTCTTATAAAAAATTATTTATCTTTTAGGAGAGTCAACGTTTGTGCAATTTATTACCGCTAAATCTCAGCCATAGAACAACAAAAGATGTTCAATTACTTGACGGCAAAATTAAATTACCTGCAGGTGTCGCTATAGTTCCACAGATTAGTTGTGCTCTTTTTGATGAAAAAATATTCCCAGAACCTAATCGTTTTTTACCTGAACGTTTTATTGATAAAAATGGTTGTTTAAAGAGAATTGAACAATTTGTTCCTTTCAGTTTGGGAAAAAGGTAAAATAAATTGTTTAAAAATAATTAAAAAAATATTTGAAAAATTAAATAAAACCTCCAAGCATTAAATATTAATCTTTTAATTTCTAAACAATTTAAGGCAATGTTTAGGCGAATCACTAGCTCGGATGGAATTATTTTTGTTCACAACAAATTTCTTTTCGAAATTCAGAATTTTCCCAGTAGATCCTTTCAATCCACCTACTACCGAGAAGCAGCTTGGATTTGGAGTATTTCCACATCCGTATAGCTGTCGAGTGGAATTACGAAATCAATCAAGAGACTGAGTAAAGAAGTAAAAATATAAAATGATAAATTTAGATAGATAAAATTTTGTATTTAAATTACCTAAATCCAATTTTCTTCTAAAAGGGATTTTAGAATTTATGTCCCTTCATCTGCGGATTGACTTTTTGATTAGGCAATGTTATAAATATAAGAATTCATTCTTCGAGATTTAAGATTTTCCCAGTAGATCCATTCCATCCACCCACCCCATGATATTTCTTTTTCTACCCTTTTCTAAATTGATATTCCTTTTTCTTTTCTGTTTCATTATTCATGTTCTATGTATGTATTCAAGTTTTGAAAAATTAGATAAAATTTTTATTCCTTTCTTTTAATTATTATAGTTAAATTTTTGATAATTTAAATAAAATTTTTATACCCATGGTTATCTTATAAAATCACTAAAATCTCAATAATGTGAAATATAGTAATAAAAAAATAAAGAATTAAATAAAAAATTAAATAAAAATTTAAAATTCTTTTAAATAAAAAAATTATTTCAAAATTCAATTTAACCCATCAACACTTCCTGAACCTAAAATATTTGCTGAAGAAGTTTGCCCATTAAATTTTATAGTTACGTCAGAGCTTAGAACAAATTTTAAGGCTGAAAATAATTTTTCAGAAAAATTTTTAAAAGAAAAAACTAACAAGCAATTAAAGGCTTTAATGAAGGCAAATTATTGCCTAAATCCTCAAACATAGTATCAATAATATTTTTTGATTTATCATCCAAGCTAGTATAAGCATTTTTTACATCTTTTTTAAGGAAAATTATAATTGTTTTGATTAACTAAAAATTAATTTGAATTTTTTAAAAATATTTATAAGGTTAATTTTGGTAAAGAACGAAATATTTTTGAGTCTATTTTTAATAGCCACTAATTTCTCAATTAGAGCCCGGACTGCTAAGGTTTTACGAGAATTAAAATTAATACATATCTCGAAAAATATCAATTCTAATTCTCCCCTGTTGATTGCAAATTAAAAAAACTTTGTTTAAAATTACAGTCAAATTTCAATTTCAGATAAACCCTTGGGCTGGAAAAATCGAAAGAGATTTTTAAATTAAATCTTTCCGGTTGATTGCAAGTAAATGAATGATTAATTTTGAGATTGAAATAGAGTAGAGAGTTATGAACAAAGTACCGACATCTTTAATTAATCTCTTTCCATCATTATCTAAATTATCAAATATAATTGTTAATTTAACATAAATCATTCTCAAAGCTTCCAATAAAGAATAACATTTTTCTTCCATTTCATTTAAAAGCTCTTTAATATTGTCAATGTTCCCTTGATTTGCATCCTCCAAAACTTTTTTAAATCCATCCAAATCATTTATGTCTATCATAGCTAAAGTAGCTTTAAAATCAATTGACATATTTTCTTAAAAATAAACAAAATATTTTTAAATTAAAATTTAAATTTGCCTTCAATTTTCTTTCCAATTTCTTTTAAATTTTCTTCTTTTATCTCTGTGTTATTTAAAGCTTTTTCATTTTTTTCCTTATCAGCAAGTTCTATATACGCTCCCCGAATTGACTCTTCTATTACAGCAATCACATTATCTCCTAAGAATATTTAAATATTTTAAATTACGTTAAAAACTAAACAAAAATAATTAAATTTTTTCTAAAAATCCCTTTATGTAGCGATAAATTCATTAGAATAATTTTAAAAATATGGTCTATCATTTCACCATTTAAATCAAAAATTGAAGTTGAAGGGAATTCTTTTTTCAAGCTTTCAAGAATTTTATTCAAAGCATCTTTGTTTGATTTAAGTTGAGAGGAAATTTTAGATTTGAATGTAACATACAATTCGTGAACCTATTTTTACAAAATTTTTAAACAAGTTAATGTATCTATGTATATTTAAATATAATTTTTACTATACTTTTTCCCCCAATTCTTTAGAATTTCCAAATTTTTTCATATAAGAATCCAATTGTGAAAGTATTCCTTCTAAAAATTCGCAAGCTCCCGGCGCACTTTCTTTAAGCTTTTTATATACAGCTTTTGATTGACTAAATTCATCAGAAACATCTATTTTGATGTTTAAAATGTTAAAAACACCGTCAATATCATTTGAGTCCATTTTTGAAATTAAAGCAATAACACCTTGGGGAGATTCATCTGAGATAAGATTATATTAGACATTAATATTTTATTTTGTACCCTTTAATTTGATAGCCAATGATTTAAGTTTAGCATCAATATCTATATCAACAGAATCAATTAGTTTGTCGGGCTCCTCACAACTCCCAGTCAACTTATCCAAAATATCTTTTAGGATATTTTCAATTGTCTTCGCCATACAATCTAGAAAGATTATTTTAGAGTTGATGGTTTAGTATTTAATGAGAACAGGCCAAAGTACCGCGAGGCCAATGTACCGCTGAGCTATAACTCGTTCAAATTCTCAATTCAGCTCATCGAGGTGCATTAAACCCTGCCAAGACGTCCCGGATTCGATATTTTGAACCGAGTTATAGCTAGGCGGCACATTGGCCCGCGGTACTTTTGGTGTACCCGTATCTAGATTATACTTGAATATAATTTAGTATTTTTAAGGGATTTAAGACAAACTGCATCCGTCGGTTGTTGACGTTATGTTTGGTGTTGTTGGCGTAGTAGTGGTTGGCGTTGTTGATTCTGTGTTTGGCGTTGTTGTTGGAGTTGTAGGAGTGGTTGGCATTGTTGGCGTTGTTGTTGTTGTAGGAGTGGTTGGAGATGTGGATTCTGTGTTTGGTGTTATTGGTGTAGTTGTTGGAGTTGTAGGAGTGGTTGGCGTTGTTGTTGGAGTTGTAGGATTGGTTGGCGTTGTTGTTGGAGTTGTAGGAGTGGCTGGCGTTGTTGGCGTTGTTGTTGGAGTTGTAGGAGTGGTTGGCATTGTTGGCGTTGTTGTTGTTGTAGGAGTGGTTGGAGATGTGGATTCTGTGTTTGGTGTTATTGGTGTAGTTGTTGGAGTTGTAGGAGTGGTTGGCGTTGTTGTTGGAGTTGTAGGAGTGGTTGGCGTTGTTGGCGTTGTTATTGGAGTTGTAGGAGTGGTTGGCGTTGTAGATTCCGCGTTTGGAGTTGTTGGCGTTGTGGATTCTGTGTTTGGTGTTGTTTCTGTAGTTGTTGGAGTTGTAGGAGTGGTTGAGCAAGGTATATTTTGGGACGAGGAAGAACTACCTTCAATATCTATTTCAATAATTCCTTTTAGATCAATTTTAATATTAAATTCAACAAATAATCCAACGAATGATCCGATTAATTGTTTACATTTCTCTTTGTTTTCCGATAAAAATTTTATAATTTCCTTGAATGCTTCCTTAAGCAGCTCTTTAAATTTATTCAAAAACTCCTTGGCATTTCCAGTCAATTTATTTTCGCAATCATCAATTAATATTTTAATTTTCAAATAAAGGTAATTTGTAGCAGAATAAATTCCTTGACATTTAGTCTTTACATTTTCAGTAAGGTCCTTTACAGATTTTACTTTTCCGTCTTTCATCAGTTTTATTAGTTCAGTAATGTCACTACTTCTGATTGTCTGCAGCACTTGTTTCAATTCGTCGGGAATAGAATCTACATAGATTTTTATATATTTATGTAAAGTCGAATAGTTTAAAGTAGGGTTCAACCAAAGTCCACGGGGACGGTGGTTCACCGGTGATGGTAGGAAGCTATCCTCCCAGAGCTCTGACTGTAAATGTTAAACCCTAGCTTAAAAAATAAGTATTTTTACCTTTAACTTTAGAAGAACTTTGCTCGAAAATCGTTTGATCATTCCATTTATCAGTAATCTCAATTGTTAGTCCTGATACACTAACTGCTTTTGACATTAAAATATTTATACCCATTTGTTTATCTGCTTTCCCTTCAATAATAAGGTTTAGCTTACACATAAATTCGGCAACCTAAATAGTACGTATTAAATATTATTTCTTTAACTATTTATTTCATACCAATAGGCAGGTACACGGTTTTCCGTCAAATACTTTTGGTATTATCATACATTCAGATGTTGTTGTCGGGACGGATGGTGTCGTCAATGTTGTGGGAGTTGTTGATGTCGTGAGAGTTGTTGGAGTTGTAAGTGTTGTCGAAGTTGTCTCAGTCGTAGGAGTCGTCGGTGTTGTGGGAGTTGTTGGTGTTGTGGGAGTTGTTGGTGTTGTCGGAGTTGTCTCAGTTGTAGGTGTCGTCGGAGTTGTCTCAGTCGTAGGAGTCGTCGATGTTGTGGGAGTTGTAGGTGTTGTGGGAGTTGTCGGAGTTGTCTCAGTTGTAGGAGTCGTCGGAGTTATCTCATTTGTAGGTGTCGACGGTGTTGTGGGAGTTGTAGGTGTTGTCGGGGTAGTCTCAGTCGTAGGAGTCGTCGGTGTTGTGGGAGTTGAAGGTGTTGTCGAAGTTGTCTCAGTCGTAGGAGTCGTCGATGTTGTGGGAGTTGTAGGTGTTGTGGGAGTTGTCGGAGTTTTCTCAGTTGTAGGAGTCGTCGGTGTCGTCGGAGTTATCTCATTTGTAGGTGTCGTCGGTGTTGTGGGAGTTGTAGGTGTTGTCGGGGTAGTCTCAGTCGTAGGAGTCATCGGTGTTGTGGGAGTTGAAGGTGTTGTCGAAGTTGTCTCAGTCGTAGGAGTCGTCGATGTTGTGGGAGTTGTAGGTGTTGTGGGAGTTGTCGGAGTTGTCTCAGTTGTAGGAGTCGTCGGTGTCGTCGGAGTTGTCTCAGTTGTAGGAGTCGTCGGTGTTGTGGGAGTTGTAGGTGTTGTCGGGGTAGTCTCAGTCGTAGGAGTCGTCGGTGTTGTGGGAGTTGAAGGTGTTGTCGAAGTTGTCTCAGTCGTAGGAGTCGTCGATGTTGTGGGAGTTGTAGGTGTTGTGGGAGTTGTTGGTGTTGTCGGAGTTGTCTCAGTTGTAGGTGTCGTCGGAGTTGTGGGAGTTGTTGATGTCGTGAGAGTTGTCTCAGTTGTAGGAGTCGTCGGTGTCGTTGGAGTTGTCTCAGTTGTAGGAGTCGTCGGTGTCGTCGGAGTTGTCTCAGTTGTAGGAGTCGTCGGTGTTGTGGAAGTTGTCTCAGTTGTAGGCGTTGTCGGTGTTGTGGGTGTTGTCTCAGTGGTAGAGGTTGTCTCAGTTGTAGGTGTCGTCGGAGTTTTTTCAGTTGTAGATGTCGTCAGAGTTGTTGTTGTCTCAGTTGTAGGTGTTATCGGCGTTGCTGGCGTTGTACTTTCATTTGTCGTAACATTGCCATCGCATTTGATAGGAGAACATTTATTTCCTGCATCTTTACAGCTTATACTCTTTGCCTGTTCGATTATATTTGTGAATATTATTTAAAAAATTTAAATTTACTTTGACATAATATTCAGCTGAGCTATTCATCTCTTTGAAGTAATGAATTTTTCTGCTTACCATCCCGAGTTGATCTGATAACTTTAACAATTTTCCATTATCGCCTACTAGTTCTTGTGTGAACGGATCAATGTTGTTCAATCTTGCATACATATGACATTCTGTTATGTTAATTTTTGTGGATTTAGTGCTAATCGGTAAAAAATCTGGAACATCTTTTTTTCTTTGTGAATGTCTAGTCGGCTTTTTTAAAATTCTGCTTTAGAGTTTAGGGTTTCAATTAGAAAAAAGTTAAATTTTCGGGTATCCTGTTTCTGTTTCACTTCGATATCCTGTTTCAATAAGACAACCCTAAGACGTTAACAGTATTTAATCTATTCGATAATACCTGTATCACAATAAGCATTTATTACTATCTCAGCATAAGCATTTTCCAACTTCCAACAAACATCTTTTTCATCACAAACACAAAAATTCTCAATTTTTTCACAATGCATATTTATTGTAGAAGCACCAGCTTTAGGCCCAGTTGTTGGGAGTTTACTAGCTACCGGATTGAAGAATAAAATTTTATTTGTTGGGTCAAAAGGACATTCACATTCTCCTGCTGGTATTGTTTGTGTACCTATTTGTTTCTCTGATTTATTGTAGATTAGCATTGCTGTGTTTGGTGGTTGTTGACAGCTATTAGGTATTCCAGAAATCTCAATTCCTCCAATTATTTTAAAGAGGAGATTTACAATAATTAAAAGGGACATAAAAACCATTTTAGAAAATAAATTTTTTTATTTTAAAAAATATTTTTAAATTAATTTTTTAAATTAATTATTTTGGGTTGTTTAACTTCTCAAGCTATTTTTTTATTTTCGAAATTATGCATTTATAAAAAAATATTAAAGTGCAACATATAAAAAACTGCTGTGAAAATAAAAATTTTAATAGACAAAAAAACTTAGAATAAGTGCATTAATGTTACAAAACTTTAAAAAAAAAATTTTAAATTTGATGATGTAATTATTTAAAAATAATTTAATGAAATAAATATAAATCTAGCATGACTTGAACTAATTGAAACCTCCCCCACTCCTGCTCCCCCCACCTATTCACTTATTTATTAAATCGCAATACCTACATACATATATTAAATTGTAACTTGGACCTTTAGCCTTCTGTTAAAGATTGTTGATCTGATTTGAAATTCCTAATCATTCCCTTTTTTATTATAATAAGTTATTTGCTTAAATAAATAGGTGTAATTTATATAAATAATGTTTTTATCCAGAATGTGAAATGTTACAATTTTTGTTTTACTTTAAAAACCTTAGTAAGAAACTTTAAAAAATTTACAAATGAAAAAAAATTAGGAATAGCTAAAATAAAATGGATAATGAGTATTTACAGAGTTAGACGAATTTAAATAATAATGTTTAAATAATAATGAATCTTTTGTGGAATAAATACAAATGCTGCTTCATAGAAGCAAAACATTGACTCAAATTGAATTAAAAAATAGGGACGATACTGTTAAATAGGGGTACGGCCCAAGTAGGATTGCGGCCAAGTAGGCGCAAAGCCATAACTTGCTTCAAGATTTATGAATCTTTCAAAATTTGTATTAAACTATTCCTCTCATCGAGCTAAGGAGATTGGTACCAAAATTGTTAAAGTCCAGAAATTTTCCATCTAGTTATGGCTTTGTGCCTACTTGAGCGTATCTCTGTTAAATATATGAAATAAAGTGAGGGTGGTGGGGAACATAAATAATAATAAAATTAGATAGACTTCTTAAATCACCACAATTCACTCAAAAACCAAACACAAAGTTTTCTCATTTCTCTTTTTACTCATCATTCCCGTCATCTTTTCCTTAATCTTTTTTAAATAATTTTTCCATAAATTTCACAAAACGTTTTTGGTATTCAGAAGGCTCAATAACTGACATAGGCAACTTTAAAATTAAATTATTTTAACGTTAAATTAATTAAACTTACAATTTTCTCATCAGGAAACAAATCATTTTTTCTCTATAATCAAAATAATTTTTATTAAAATTTAATTATAAAGAACATTTTTGTTTGTAAAATAAATTTTGTAATTTTTATCTAATCCAAAAACCCCTACAAACAATTTATTTTCAGATAACTTACTCCTTGTTTAAACTCCAACATTTTTTGTTTTAATTGTTTTCTTAAACTGTAATTTTGAAATATATCAATAATTCCATAAAATAATATCAATTCTTTCTTCTCGCAAGAATTTTCAGTACAAATTATTGCTTTAGCTTTAATTCCGTTCGTTACTTCATTTTCACTACAAATTATTTTGTAATTTAAAAAGTATAATATGCAAAAACCTTTTGTTTCCAGTAACAAAATGTACACCCAATAGAAGGCTGTAGTCAATAATATTTCGTTCGGAGAGAAACTTCATAAAATTTTTTATTAAATCATAAAGTCGGATCTCTATTGTAGTATTAAATACAAATTTACTTATACCTCCCTCTATGTACATTTTAGTTTATTTAGTTGCCCACTGGGAGAATTTCCTAAACAAAATCCCTCCGCCACACCAATCTACTCGGTTTTACGTGCAAAACATTTCCTAATTTATTCCACTCTTCCCTATTTCAACCCTTTTTTTACATACATATAGATTGACCAATTATTTAAACAAATCTTGATTCGATCAAAAATTTTTGTTAACAAATATTTAATTTTTTAACAAAATTTATTTAATTTACAAAAATAATATTTTTATTACCTTGCTGTCTGCTTTAACCATTTTAATAAATTCGTTGTAATCCTCATTGTTATCAAAAACTATTCCTTTTTTAAATATTTCCATAATATTTTTTTCTTTCAAAACCTTTGCATTACCTCCTTTCTCAATACGAGATGACCCTTTTAAGTCAAACTTTAAATCCAACTTTGGTATTCCTTTTGGAAATAATCCATTTTGGATTGTGAAAATAATTGGTTCTTCTGATGTATTATTATCAGTAATTTCCTTAATAATTTTGTGTTTAAATTTTGGTTGTATTTTTTATTAATTTTATAAAATTATATGTACATATATTTTTTTGGAAATAATTTTTCTGACTTTAAAAATGTTAAAATATTGGGATATACTAACAAATGAAAAAAAATTATGAAAAAGTGTGGAAATAAGGTGAAGGATAACTAACGGAGATTGTGGAAGAATGAAGAGGAAAATTGTTGAAGGTAGGACCTTGAAAGTTTCTCCCCAGTTTTCATTTCAGTTTTCATTATAAAACAAAAAAAAACCATCGAAATTTGAAAATTATATTTGTGGAGTTCTGAGAAATTTTTTTTGAGTCTTTGGATACAATCTACTTTTTTATATACATAAATATTTTTTAAATTTTCATATATATTACCTGAATAATAAAACTTAATGAATATTTTGGCAATAAACTTTCATTTTTATCCTCTTTATTCATTTTACTAAAATAGTCAACAAAAGTTCCTTTAAATTTACTTTCTTTTACATAAATATCCAACCAACTAAAAGGATATATTAACTGTTTCTTCTTGTTTTCATCAAAAAAGAAATGTTTTTCAGCGAAAGGTTCAAGAAATTGCCGACCTAATTTCAACAACGAAAGAGGAATTTTCGAATTTTTTGACCATTCAGCAAACCATTTTGGCTCTTTTTGTATTGTTTTTAACAAAAATTGTTGGTTCCAAGATGTTAAAAACTCACATCCTCCTTTTGTATTGCTGTCAAAATTATCAAAAGGAAATAATGTTAATGACAATAACATTTTTAGAGAATTTAGTTCAAAGATTTCTTGAAGTTTTTTAAATTCTTTTGGGAACAAAATTGTGAATTTAAATTTATTTTGAGGGGCTTTACTTGTTTTATCATCAGTTTCCTTTTCAAAAATTAATTCTTGAATATCAATTTGTTTGTTATAAAGATTTTTTTTCGATTTTATTTTCAGATTATCATCTTCCAAAATAAAAGAAATACCCCTTTCATTCCAAATTTTATCTTCTTCTCCATTTTCTAAATCATCGCAAAAATATTTTCGAAGGGCAAAACGAATTTTTTCTGCCAAATTAAATGATTTTGGAAAATTTATTTCCGCCATTCCGTGTTTTTCTAAATATTCTTTCACATTTTTACCAAATTCTTCATAATTTCCCAAAAATTCTAACATTTTATCGTCACACAAAGCCTTTGGCAATTCTTGAATATTTTTTAAATTTTTCAACATTTCTTTAATTTTCTTTTCTAGATTCGTTTTAATTCCTTCCATTTCTTTTTTATCAAATTTTTTTTCATTTTCTCCCCACATTTTAACTAAATACATTTCAACTTCATTTTCTATTAGTTCTGAAGTTTGAATTGAATTGTTCGCTAAAATAATATAGGTAATTTTATATTATAAATATCCTCCCCTGTTTATGTCTTAGAGTACGCCCGAGTCGAGCAAGTTCAGCTGGGACAGAGAAAAGATGGATTTTCTAATCCACTATATTTTCTTAATAAAAAGGGGGAAATGTTGCTGAACATTGAAAATAAATCTCTTTTTTTTCAGACCCCCAAAATTTTAAATCCAAGTTTTTTATATTTTTTTGGAATAAAATTGGATGGGGTAAAATAATACTTACGAATGTCATTTAAACAAAAATAATTAGGCGAGAAATTTAAAAGAAATAAAAGTTTAATTAATAAAAACATCTAAAAATTTAAAATTAAATTAAAAAATAATAAATTATTAATTGTTTAATTAAAGAGAGGCTAGCCAGTATTTTAAATAAAGACACAACTCCCATTTAACGCTTGCCTTGTTAATGGCTATATATTTAAAGCCGTTGCCTCCTGTATAAAAAAAATTGGCATATGATTTTATAATTAAAGGTGGAGGAATTTTTTATCACATGCTAAAAAATCGCCTGCCATAAATTGATTTCTATATAAATTTATTTTAAAAATTAATTAATTATAATTAATTAATTTTTAAAATTAATTAATATAAAAATTTAAAAAGTTAGAAATTGTCATTAATTAAGGAATAGATAATATTTAAGCTTTCTTGAAAGTGTTCTATACTAGAAACGGAAAAAAAATTGTAAAAGGTGTCCTAGAAATACGGAAACTTTCTACCAAACAATCTTGGTAGAAAGTTTTTGTTGTAGTGCCTGCATACAATCTCCGGAAACTTCAAATCTCCGGAATTCAAAATCTCCGGAAATTCTTTAAAAAGTTTCCGATTAGCAAACAATTTTGGTTGGATAATAATTAAATATTTATGTTTCTTTTTGTAAAATTAAAATATTTTTTAATTGGAATAATTTAGTTGAGATTGGGATGGCAATACACAGAGATATGGCACTGTTTATCCAAGAATTGTTTATGACATGTTTATGGTTCTATCAGCTGGAATAAATACGATCGTGTAACATAATTGGCTAATTAATACTTACGAATGTTATTTAAACAAAAATAATTAGGGGAGAAATTAAAACAAATAAAAGTTTAATTAATAATAACATTTAAATTAAATTAAAAATAAATTAATATAAAAATTAAATTAAAAAATTAATAAATGAATTAATTGTTTAATTAAAGAGAGGATTTATAATAGTGACAAATCCTCTCTCTCTACCCCTCCAATTTAACGCTAGCCTAGTTAAATCGCTGCTTTGCGTCTAACGACAAAAAGGCAGAGGAAATCGCGCGAGGCATTTCTCTCCACTTTCCCCTCTATTTTTTCTTCCACAAGACACGCGTGCTTGTTAATTAACAAAGGATTTTAAAATTGAAAGATGGAGGGATTTTAGAAGGGATTTCATTCAAATATACACTCCCCGTCTGCCGCTTTCCAGCCAGGTGGCAAAGCCCTTGAATTCAATGCTTCGAAATTGATTTTTATAAATTAATTTAAATAAAAAGTTAAAGAATCGGAAATTCTGTTAAGGAAAAAATCTCTTTTTCAAAATTTTGTTAAGAAGAAAAATAACTAGGACCTGGAACTAGGGCTTCAACAGCAAAGCATAAATGGTAAAAACACTCCGATTTTTCAAAATTTTAACCGGAAATAATAATTAAAAAATTTTTCTTAATTTTTGAAAAATATTTTTCCGCAAAGTGAAAAATTTTTATTTAAAGTTTTACAAAAAAAAACAAAAATTTTTAATAAAAATCGAACTTTTACGAAAAATAATCAAAATAGGTGACAGAAAACATAAAAACATCCCAAATAGTTTTCAACTTATTTTAGGTTGCAAAACCCCAAAATAGATTTAAATAGTGAAAAAAAGTCCGCAGAAGATTTTCAAAAAAACAACGGATTTGAGCTGTTCATCATAACTCGAGCCCTAATTATAATCATTACGCGGCTTTTGAAGATAATTTATATTAAATTGGGAATAAATACACGAGTTTTTAATAAAAACAAGCTAAATATGTATTAACTATCCATAAGATGTTGCAAAAGTTTTAAAAAAGATGTGGTAATGAAGTGAGGTTATGACTTAAAACTAGAGCGCGGAATTTCGTTCCGTACCGTATTCCGTACCGTACTACCGATACGGAATACCGATAAATACCGATAAAATACGGCCGTAGTACGGTACGGTCCGCGCTCTACTTAAAACTAAAAACATAGTTGTGCCTTTCGAAATCTCCGGAAATTCTTTAAAAACAACAAAAAAAATGTTTAATTTAATTTTAAAATTAAAATTGTCTTTATCAAAATAATTTAAAATATTTTTTAAAAATTAAAAATAATAATTGATATTTGTATATAAATATAGCAGGGTAGAATTAAAAAAAGGAAAGGAAGTTGGTGGATGATAAGCAAAATTGCTATAGAATTTTTTAGTTTACAAAATAATATTACGGACAAAATAGTAAATAAATATCTTACATCCTTTTAGTAAAAATAAAATATTTTTAGTTGTTTGGAATAATTTAGATGAGATTGGGATGGTATTTAATAAATATGTACATACACAAATATGACAAACAAAAAATAAATGAAGAAAAATTTCCTTTGTTTTAATGTTTTTTCTCGTTTTTCTATAAATTTTGAGCTCAATCTTTTTCTTTTTACTTCACATACACTCTGTTTCAAAAGTATAACCCACTTTAATTTTTTTACATTTTTCGTTGCTTAATCAAGTTATCTTTTTGAGATTTTGTATTTAGATACATTTTACTGATCCACTAACATCCCCAAAGTTTCATAAATTTTGTTCGAGCCAAAAATTTTAATTAATTTTTTTTCAAAATTTTTGCTAAAAAAATGTGTTTCATAAGTATAACCCACTTTTATTTTTAACATTTCCAACATTAATAAAAATCCACAAAAATTCCAACAACCATATATAAGAATATTATATAAAAATTAAAAAAAATTAAGCCCATATCTCTATTCAGTTTCGAGATCCCGACACCTCAAAAACCTCAAAAATCAACGTAAAACGGGGGCAAGTCCATTTAAAAAATATTTTCGACACATTAAGGCTAGTTTTGAAATTTTATTTTTAGCCTATCTGAAAGCACTTGAAATTTGCTACAAGATAGCATTTTCCCTATTTTTCAGAAAAAATCCATTAGCTAGATACTGGTGGTTAAACTTTTGCATCAACAAAAAACGCCTAAATGTCCACAAAAATGACCGTTTAGATCGCTTCTGAAGTTTAACCATCTGTATCTCGCTAAAGGATTTTTTCTGAAAAATAGGGAAAATGCTATCTTGTAGCAAATTTCAAGGGCTTTCAGATATGTCGAAAATAAAATTTCAAAACTACAATTAATGTGTAGAAAATATTTTTTAAATAGACTTACCCCCGTTTTACGTTGATTTTCGGTGTTTTAGAGGTGTCGGGATCTCGGCATTGAGTAAAGATATGGACCTGATTTTTTTTCTAATTTTTATAATATCAATATACATGTTTGAGGAATTTTTTTAGATTTTTCCTATTGTTGCAAATATGAAAAATAAAAGTGGGTTATACTTATGAAACACCTATTTTGGTGAAGAATTTAGAAAAAAATAATTAAAAATTTTTTATTAGATAAAAATTGATGGAACTGCGGGAATATTCGTAGATTAGTTAAATGAATCAATATACCAAGTTTCAAAAAAATATATTAACATATCATCGAGAAAACTGAAAAATCAAAAGTGGGTTATACTTTTGAAACAGAGTGTACCTCATTTAATATATGTACAACTCTTCATTCTCTTTTTTGAAAATTTTGGTAGTAATGAAATTTATAAAACGATTACTATAACTTTTTGGATCGGTGATTGAGGCTGTTGCCTTTAAAAAATAAATTTAGATTTTTTTTGCTGCTCGACATTCCATATTTATTCCCCAACCGAAAAAACTTTTTTCCCCAGAGACTATATGGAAGGGGATATAAAAAATGTTCATTAACTTTGAACAAACATGTTCGATCACAGTGTTTTTTGTCTTAGTTAGTCTCACAAACTAATACTGTTTTATGTTTACGAGTAATTTGTTTTACTCGTTTTTATATATTAATTTTATTAAGGGGAAGGAAATGTTTAATTTAAAATAAATATATTATTATTACAAAAACTTACATATTCTATATCTTTTAAAATATTTTTTTCCTAAAATTAAAAAAAAATTTTTAGTATTTATTCTTATACAGTCAAACCTCACCCACTACTTTTCCTAATTTCCAACACTCAATTTCTCAATTGAAAATACTTTTGTTGGGGGATCTATCTAAGCAATCCCTCCATTTAACAATAAATTATCTCTTATGATTTCCCAAGGGTTTATATCTTATAAAGAGAGGTTTAACTCAATAATTTTAATTAAAAATAACCCCTTTAATTTTTGACATTAATTCTTTAATTCTTGCTTCTATTTGTCTTTTAGGTATAAATGATTGTAATATATCAATTATTCCAACAAATAGACGTAATTCTTTTCGTTTATTTTTTTCATCAATGTTAGTTTGATTATTCCCTTTTTTCTCTAAAATTTCCAAAATTTCATTTAAATTACTACAATCATCACAAAAAGCTTTAATTCCTCTAAAAAAATATTTTAATATTAAATTTGGTTAATTAATTTACCCTATATTTTCATTTTCTTCATTTTGGTCATCAACAATATGAATTCCCAACAAAAGACTGTAGTCGATTATATTGCTTTTCTCGAGAAACTTTATTTAAAAAAATTTAAACTTTATTTTAATTTTAAATAATTAGGAACATAAAATTAAATTTTAATTTACTTTTTTTCTAATCCAAAATAAGGAAAGATCCTTAAACCTTCCATTTGAATACATATAGTAAAATAATTTTTTTATCATAAGGGAGTTAACTCTATTTAGAGTTTAGACAAAAATATTCTGACTCATTTATTTTACCATCAATGCTCTAATGATTCCGAAGATCGAGCGGTTCCATTATTTTATGTTTAAAGAACCGGCCCCTCAACCCTGATTTTGGGAATCAAGAAACTTGTAATTTTTATTTTTTTAAAGATTTTCTAATATAAAAAATATAAAGCTTAAAAGCCAACCTTACTATCCTCTTCAATCATTTGTCTAAAATTTTCAAAATCATTTTCGTTTAATTTTATACCATTAGGGAAAAACCCTCCATTTTCCCCTCCCTTTTCATTAACAAAATTTAATTCTGTCCAATTTGGACTTTTCCCATTTTTTAAAAGTTTTTCTAAGCCTTCTGCAGTTGGTAATATTCTTTTAGATCCCTTTAAGTCAAAAATTAAATGAATTTTTGGCGTTCCTTCAGGGAAGAGACCATTTTGAATTGAGAAAATTTCACTTTTTGATTGCCCATTTAATGGCTGAAATTTTAAAATTAAAAAAATATTTTTTAGAAAAAAAACCAACAGTAAAACTAAAAAGAAGGAAGAATTTTGGTAAAAGAGTTTCTCTTTTATTTTTAAAAAATAATTTTTTTTCCGAATAAAGAGAACTTATCAAATCGAAATATTCTAAAAATCCTCCTCTAAATTTTCTTTCATTTTCATTAAAATATAAAGACGGGGTTCTCTGATAATTTAACAAATGTTTATTTTCTTCTTCAAAACTTTTTTCAAAATTTTTATTTTCCTCATCAAAAAAGAAAAAATCCTTCTCAACTTCAGGTTCTAATTTATTTCCAATAAATTTTATAAAATCCATCAAATCATATTTTTTAAATTTTGAATACCATTTTGGTTCAGACATGACACTTTTTAAAAAATATTTTTTATCCCAAGAAGTAAAAAAGCTAGCTCCACTTTTTGCAGGATTATCAAAACCTTCTAATCGAGCAAATGTTAAAGACATAATTAAATCTTTAATATCTACTCCAAAAAACTTCCAAAGTTCTCTAAATTTTTCTGGAAAGAAAATCGTTAATTTGAAATCGTCTTTATAGCCATGTGGATATCTTGATTGAATTCTTAATTTTTAAATTTAATAAAATTAAAATTAAATTTTCAAGAAAAATAGGGGGAATGAAAGACAGAGAACTTAAGATAATCTCAGAATTAACAAGCTCTAACTAATAGTATATTAGTAGCCTCAAATTCACACTTTCCTATAGGAGAATATACATTAGTGCTTCACCGGAACCGCAAATTTGACCAGAACCGTAACCAAAAAATCCCGGAACTTCTTGTCCACCGGAACCGGAACTTCCGGTGAAGCTATAATGTACACCCCCATAAGTAATTCAATATTATTTTGGACCTAAACATTTGTGTACCACAAATAGCAATTAAGATAAAATTTATTATTAAAATCGGTTTATATTTATTTAGCTATGTCCGTGAGCCTTTTAAATAATACACTTCAATTAAATAATTAAAAAACCTTCTAAATATTCTTTCGTGCTTATTTTTTATTCTTTTCATTTCTTCACAATTTTCAGCTTTACTATCACACTTTTCTACATTTTCCCATTTAGGTGTTCTGTTAAAATTTACATCACATAAATATTTTCTAAGTGAGAAACAAATGGCACTTGATCTTTCAAATTTATTTTTCAATTTTTCTTCTTCAATTAATTTAACATTACTAACTTCATTGTTGGTATTACTTTTACCTATCGGTTCAATAACGTTAATTGAATTTCTAGTACATGCTTTTTAAAAAATAATTTTATTTTTATTTATTTATTTATTGTTTAGAAAAAGAAGAAAGAGGTCTATCCTTTTCAATAATTTTTAAAATTCGAGAAAACGAGCCAAGCTCTAATATGTATTTAGTTAAAACTCTAGTTTTAGATTTACTCAAAAATTTGGATTATATTGGGACTTGAAGAATCAGAGAGAATCAACGGTTTTATCCGTTCTCCACATATTTTTTGGGAGTTACCTCTCTTAAAATTGGGAATTACCTCGTACCTTATCTCTACATATAAAGGTAAGAAGTAATGCTCTAATAGAAGAACAGTCTCTATTTGAAGCACAATCTCTAATAGAGGCACACATCGGAAAATAGAAGCACGTGTGCTTCTATTAAAGCTTTTACGGCATGTATTTTTAGTAGCTACCCATCTAATTTTTATAAATTAATTTAAATAAAAACCGGATAATAAAAATCCTCCTCTACTCTTTTCACATTTTGGAGAATTAATAACTAAATTAATTTCTTCTTCTTTTCCAATAATTTGTTTTCTCAATTCTTTGTAATAATTAATTTCCAATTTTGTCATCATATCCTCATAATTTCCCAAAAAATTAATCATCTCTTTATCACACAAATTTTTTACCAAAAATTCTTTTGAAAATTTTTTAAAAATATCTTTTATTTTATTTTCCAATTTTTCTTTTAATTTTTTAATATTTTTTTCCAATTTTACAAAATATTTTTGCTTCTCTTTTTCATCAAAAACTTCCGGAAATGCTTGTTCTCTTTCCCATTTTTCAATTATTCTTCTCCACAACTCTATATTTTTTAAATTTTTTTGTAAATATTTGTTTAATTCTTCTTGAATTAAAAAAATATATAGAAAGTTAACATAGTACATTTTCTTTTTGCGAGTTGAAAAAAAAATCCGTTCAAGTTTGGACTCGGGTCGTTCAAGAAATCTTCGTTTTTCGGATAGGGCTGTTTATTGGGGTAAAATCTTAGGATTTTCAATACTAATTAATAATCTGTTATGTCTTGAAAACATTTTCAGTCCTGCACGCCTCTAAAACCTTAGAAATCTTGTAAAAGTTTATTGGGGGGGGGGGGGGGTTAAAAGCTGGCATTTAATGCTATCAGTGGTGGGGGGCGCAAGAGACAATTGGAGAAAAAATATTATAACAAGTTTTATCAAAACTTGTATACTCCCCAAATAAATTACTACCTAACTTACCATTATGTTTTTCAATGCTGATTTTTAAATTATTTATTTTTTCAGAATATGCTAAGTTTGGAAAAAGAATAAAATAAACAATTGAAATTACTGTTAAAATTTCCATCGCTAAAAATTAATGCTACCACATTTTTGGTTGGTAAATGGCAGAGCTGTTTTGAAATTTTGATTTTCAATGGATTTTCTTTTGATTTACAAGTTTAAAAGATTTTTCTCTTTCTAACAGTAAATAGAGATGGGTTTGGAATTGAATTGAACAAATCGGAATTCCGTTTTACATCTGGCTAACTGATAGCAGTTAAAATTATTTAATAGTGGCTATTTTAATTTTCCCGGTAATAGTGTCGTTTCCAGTCCCCATTTTTTCCTTCCAATTTTTCACCCTATGTTTGTACGGAATGGTCAAATTTTCCCCTTTCTTTCATCAAATTTGCCCTTCCATATTTTGCCTAAAAACAATTAAAAAGATTAATTGTTTATTAAGTTGTTTCACAAGGAGAAACACCAAGCATGAAAAATGTTTTCTGGCTATTATAGAAGGAAAATGAAGTGCGGAAAATCACAAATTAATCTTTTTGACTGTTTTTAGGCAAAATATGGAAAGGCAAATTTGATGAAAGGGGAAAATTTGACCATTCCGTACAAACATAGGGTAAAAAATTGGGAGGAAAAAATGGGGACTGGAAACGACACTATTATCATTTTCCCTTCTTAAATTCCTTGAGGGAAGGAGAAAAAAATTTAATAAATTTAATTTATATAAAATTAAAAGAATAATGGATGTAGCGTATAATTTTTAAAAAAAAGGTTTTAAATGTCTGACTTGTGATGCCTGCCCTATGAAAATTTTAATTAGAAGTCAGAAGACAATGATTGCACTTTATTTGCCCTTTCTTTTAAATTTTTTTCTTTGTCTGACTTGTGATGGAAATTTTAAAAAAAGGAAGTTTTAATTTTTTAATTCTCTTGAATTTTAAAGTTAAAATTTAATTTTTTATGCCTTAATTGCTATATAAATTCTCACAACTTAAAATATTCAATTAAAAAATTTAAGTAAAACAAAAATTAAAAGTTGAATAATTTTATAAAAGTGAAGAAAAAGTTTCTAGTTTTGAGTATATAACAGGCTAATTATTTTACAAAAATTAAAAAAAAACTTTCTAATTAAATAAAAACAGTAAATTTTTTAAAATTTATTTGAGAAAAATACATTTAAAAATAAAAAAACAAACTCAAAATACACCCCCCCCCCTCCCCCCCTATTCCAATCCCCCATCTACTTTCCACATGTATCCCCCCTCCTCAAGTTGTGTTTTGTATTATGATTATGAGGGGAAAAATAAAAATAAAAATAAAATCAATTTATTTATTTATTTATTTATTAAATTTTGCAAATAAATTTAAAAAAATAAATAAATAAAAGAGTAAAGCACAAAAATGTTTTTGGTTGGAGAATATTTACTGAATTTATTATGGAAGAAGAATGAAAATAGTCATCAACTTTCATTAGAGCGGATAAAAATGCCGTCATCATTGCGCAACTTTTCAAAGACGGATTTTCTCATGCACTTTAGTTTAGCTGTCAGATGTTTTTTGCTTTTTCTTTTGAAAGTTTAGAATTTAGAAATCAACTTTTTATGGCACTAAGGATATTTTTATTTTTATTTTTTAAATTGAAAATTGACTAAAAATTTATGTAAAATTAACAAACATAAAAATCTAACCACATTTTAGATCTGACATTTTATGTAACAACAACTCCCTCCTCCCCTTCCCCCCCCCCTCCCCTCTCAATCACCTTATTTCCATTTTTCGACTCTCCTTTCTTCTACTTATTATTTGTAAAAGCACCCCACATTTATTGTTTGTTTGATTAAAACAAATAAATTTAAAAATGAGAAAAAAAAGAGAAAAAAATTTTTTGTGGATAGCTTTAAAATTGAAGAGGGTTAAAAAAGGTTTGGAGGAAAATTTTGGGAAAATCAATGTGACTCTCGTAATTCAAACAAAAAATCAACTCATATACCCCTTAAAATTATTGAAAAAAGAGAACAGTTATGTTGAGAGTGAAGAGGTTTGAGTGGAATACAAAAATAAAAATAAATTTTTTAGGAAATATTCCACACATGAAATTATTTTTTAAATGAAAATTCTTTTGATTTAAATATTTTTTAAATAAATAAATTTTTTATACATAAAATATATTTTATCTGATTCATTAACATAAACTAAATACCTAAATTTAATTTTCATTTAATTAATTAAATAAAAAAATATTTTATTAAATTATGAAAATTTAAAAATGTCAAATAAATTAATTAATTTAATTTATTTTAATTTTTTATTTATTTTAATATTTACAAATTTGGTAAATTAAAAATTAAAATTAAAATTTTTGTTTATTATTTTTAGACTTTCCAAAATAAAAAAGAATTAACACAAAAATTGTTTGAAATGCTTGATACAAATTTAGATGGCCTTTTATCTTTTAATGAATTTATTTTTGAGGGAAATTTAAAGAAAATTGAACCAATTGAAAGGCTTGAATTTATTAGAAAGGTGAAATTTAAAAATTATTTTTATAAAAAGTTAATTTAACGTTAGGTTCAAAACTTGTACTTTTAGTGGATTGTAAAGGGAAACATGGGTTATTGTCCCAAACAAAATTTTTATATCGCCGATTGGAGCTGGCCGATTTCCTTAAACAATTTTTGGTTCTTTTTTTCCTTGTTATGGAAAGTTAGAAGTAACTCAAATCCACTTAACCACATACACCTCACTGTCCGTCAGTCCTCTCTCCAACTTGACGACCATCATTAAAATACCTTAAATTCCAAATATTAAATATTTTCCTTTTCTTTAAGCTTTTTAATGAATCAGACTTTGATAATAATGGAGAATTAAACAGTCAAGAATTAACAGAATTCTTTATTATTTTACAAAAACAATGGGTAGAACATGGAGGGACTGAAAATATAGATTATTCAATTGTACAAAATATAAATAAATATTTGGTATTTTTTTAAAGTTTTTTTTATCAATTTTATCAAAAATATTATCTTTTTTTAGACTAAATATATTCATTCAATCGAAGAAAATAATTTTTCAGGGGAAGAATTATCTAATAAATATACAGTTGATTTAATTGAAGAACTTGAAGGAATCTAATTATATTTTTATATTTTTAAATTATTTTAATTTTGATCTCACTATTGTTCTTCTTAAATTATTCAAATTTTTTTAAATTAATAATTTTAATAGCTAATTAGTGATTCTGTTTTCTTCAAATTTAGTGAAAATAAAACATAAAATAAATACATAGTATTCGTTAATATTTGACTTTTGTTCACATTATGCGTCCTAAAATACCTAATTTAAGTATCCCATTAGAAAAGTTAAAACCATCGCGGAACAAGTCCATGACGTTGAGTCTCATTTCAAACTCTTGGATTTTGATATTGCTTTGTTGCATATACTACATAAATAAAAGAAAAAGCGCCCAAAGGTGTGCTATCGCTTTTTTTGTCAAATATCTATCATTTGCGCTAAAACGTGTCATGACCGAACATAGTATACCGATTTATTGAAAATTTTCAAAGCTACGATATTGCATTTACTAAATGTTAATTTTACAACGATTTCCTTTGTTTTTTTTTACAGTAAGATTTTTTGTACACTAGAGTCTCAGAGAAATTACAGAGATAAAGAATAACTGATTTGGTTTAACTTGATTAATTTTTACGATTTATGGAATGTATGTGTTTATCCTGTAATGCTTGATTATGTAAAGTAGGAATAGATAAACATATTCTTCTTCTTTTTATATTTCCACAAAGCTCTTTTTGTCACTGACATTTTTAATGATTATTGTGATGTCATTTACTTTTTATTTCTAATTTAAAATATTTGATTATTAGATTGACTAAAGTTGTGAATGTCAATTATTATTGAAGTTTTTTGATTAAAGACTTTGTTTTAATTTTAATAAAAATAATTGGAATATTTAATGGACGAACAAGGTTTTTCTTTAATTTAAGGTGGAATTTAGTATATTATTTTTATATTTTAGCATTTTTAAACCAACAAATGCGAGGAAATGTTCAATACAATGTCAATCAAACACATCAAATGCAGGTTAAATTTTAAATAATGATGATATTGTTTTCCTTTAAAATCGGGTTCTACTGAAAGCTGAATACTACTCGGCGTGCCCACTTAGTCGCGGTTCTGTTGTTAGTTTAATATGTCTCGATCTCGAACGCTCTATATAGTTCGATACATCACGGCGAGCTTAATCTAAGCATAATCGTGTGTTTGAGATTAGATAGATTTTATGAGAATTGTAGCCCTACACTTTTGCCCGCAATCGCGTGGGGTGTGCTAATATAAAATTAGGAAAAGAACCTAAAGTTGTAAAAAATTTCCCTTCTTGGATAATTTTGTATTTATTGTTATACTTGTTCCTGACTGACTATAGTATATTTCAGCAGTCACACGAACAGCAATTATATCAACAACAACATCAACAAGGTCGTCAACCAATATATCATCAGATGAATGTTAATTATCAAAAGGGGTATGATGGTGGCTCTCAGTACAATCATGGAAATGAGCAGCAGCCTATGTACAATCAACAATCTTATCAGATGGGATATAATCAGCAGCAAGCTGTTTCCACACAATACTACACGGTTTGGGATTTTTCCTTTTTGCTTATCTCGCGTTTCTACTTGATATAACTCGAAATAAATCCTCCGGCTTTTTTACTCGGTGTCAGTTGCGGGCGTATTGCGTTAAATTTGGGCTTTGCGTTGTATTTTGCATTATTTTTGGCGAAATTAACGCAAAAAATATACCCAATCTTAAAATAAAAGTTGGCAAAAACTTGACTTATTGACCGTCCAAAACTCAATTTTCGCTTGTGGCGCTAAAAAAAGAATTTACCAATTTTCTTCCATCATGGAACGACACATCAGAAAAATTCCTTCCTAGTATGCCCTGATATCCCCGGTATCAATTCAAATCCACTGACCTCCGATATCTCCTAAACTCATCTGACATCCGTTTGTAATCCCATAGCATCTCTTTACCAATATCCTGCATGATCACCCTGTATCTCTGAGGGTGGTTCACGAAGGATACATGGATTTATTCGTGATCCCACTCCAACCCTTATATGTACGTGTCACAAAATCGGATAGGTCTCGCTGCCATCTTGTTTTACTCCATTTTTTAATTGGAAAATGTCTAATACTTACATTTAATTTTACAGATTCCGGATGATGACGATTCAATTATTGTAGCAGAGAATTGTGTTGTAATGACTAGTGATCCTTCTCCTGAACAATTAATGGCGCCTCAATCTTCTATTGGTGCTCATTATCCTCCTGAACAGCAACAAACCTCTCGATACCCATATTTGCCGTCTATAAGTGATGGGGTACCTAGTTCTACTTTTTATGGACAAGGTTTAATTTTTTGATCATTTCCTTCATCCGCTATTTTTATCGACCTTCTAAAATGTTTTTTTCGGCTTTTTTCACGAAAAGTCTGGGGTGTTTTAATTTATTTCCTCTGACAAATCTGTTCACGCAGCAATTTATTATTTTAATTATTTTAAGCTCGTCAACAACAGCAACAACATAGAGAACCGCATTATGTTGTTGTAGATCCTCTTACTTATTCTGCAGGTTTTCAACAGATACATTCCCAACAATCGACACAAAAACAACCACCACAGCGTCAAATTTTACGTTCATCTTTACCTATTCAACAAGTTCAAAGAAGGGCTGCTCCATTTGAAGAGGAAGAAGAAGAAATGGAAGGAAGTGATGAAGATGATGAATGGCAACAAGAAGAACTTTTACAAACGACCTCACAACAGAGATACAAAATAAACATTAATGAGCCTAGAATGACTAGGGCAGCAAGGCGTAAGCAAAATTTTGAAGGCAAAAGTAAGCCAGAAAAGCAGAAGAAAGTCGATGTACCGAAAAAAATGTGTTCGGATATTTTCTCGGATGAGGTGGAAAAAAATGAAAATTCAGTACAGAAATATGAGAAGAAAACGATATCGGGAACCTGGGCAGCAGTTTCACCAAAGAAAGAAATTTTGGCTGAAAAACCGCTTTTGTAGGGGAATTTAAAAATTTTGACATTTTAATTTTTAGCGATAAAAATATCGCGCATATACAAGCGGTTCAGCGATTAAGCACTGCTGAAGGATGGAGACGAATGAACGAATGGTTGAAATCGTCAATTAAAACAATGGATTTACCTAAATTACGTCAACTTTTGGCACAACTAGTTGATGTTTGTTGAAATTAGGATTATAATATATTTTGGGGGTTGTGAAGGCTTTAAGCATTTTTTGTGAGTTCCAGCCCAATTTAAAATTCTCGAATAATCAAGTAAATATTTCCTCGAAGAGGTGGGTGCACTGATTGAAATTTGAAATGTAACTAAAAGCTATCTGTAAAAACTTTTCCCATTCCCATGAAATTTTTTATGTATAAACGAGATTTTCATGATTTAAGTAGACTGAATTATTTATAATTTACAGGCGGATATTACAGTGGAGTTGCTTAGAGACAACGACACTCCTAAAATTGTTAAAGACCTGCAAAAATGCGCAGATAAAGGTAGGCTAAAGTGATGCTAATTTAATTACAAGATTGTTTGTTGCCTTAAATGTTTATTTATTCATGTTAGAAGCGAATTATTGATTTTAGCGTTTTTTCCTTTCGTGGCCTTACAATTACTCTCAAAATTTTTATCGATTTCTTCACTCTTACCCTTTTCTTTACTCTTTCTATTTGTAGTGATTCACGTATAATTTTTTGCATCGATTAGAGCTTTAGTGACTCGAATCTGTGTTTGATAATAAATGTTTTCAATTGTAAGTGTTTAATCTATGTATAATTAAGATTTGGCACTGCCAAAATTCCAGTAATTTAGAAATTAGGAAGGGTAAGTTATTTTTACTTTTGAGATTTTCGTAATTTTTTTATTTTTTATACTCGTTAATGTTTCATGCATTTCTATTTTTCTGTCAGTAATTTTTATATAGTTGCCGTTTTGAGGCTTAAGACCACGCCCATTTTGTTGCAACGGCATCAACTCATAACTTTATATTTTAAAATAGTGCATAAAAATTAGGAAAACCCTAAGAATTTATCTTATTACTTTATTTTCGCGCTTTTCTTTGTCTCTTAGGCCTAAGTGCACTTTAGTAACGTGATCTAAAAATCGATGTTTTATATGTCATTCGAAAGAGCTCGGCGAGCTGAGTCGAATGACACCAAAATTTTTCCGCGGAAAAAATTCTGAGCCGAGATATAGGGCTCGAAATGGTCAAAAACCATAGGGGGGAGTAAGCTCATTTTTGGGGTGAAAAATTCGAATATACAAATAATAGCTCATTCGAAAGGGCTCAACGAGCTGAGTTGAATGACACCAAAATCAGCTCGATTGGATGATTCTGAACAAAGTTACGATAGAAAAACTAAAACCTAAACCTATGGGGCGTCGGCGAGGCGCTTGTGCAAAACCCCGCGCTTCGCGCGGGGTTTTGCGGCACGCGCCTCGCGGGGAGTCTACGGGCGTTGGGTCTGGGCTCGTAACATAAACCTATTCCTATCTCCCTTGCTCTGGATGTATTTGGGGCCTCCGTTGCAGCAAAAATCTCCACAGATGCCATAGGTAAGGAGCTAAAATAAAAGATCATAACTTTGTCAAATCAAGCCAGATTTCATTGATTTTGGTATCATTCGACTCAGCTCGATGAGCTCTTTCGAATGAGCTATTATTTGCATATTCGATTTTTTCACCCCCAAAAAACAGCTTACTCCCCCCTATGGTTTTTCGATTTTCGGGGACCCATATCTCGGCCCGTAGTTGAGTCCGCGGAAAAATTTTGGTGTCATTCGACTCAGCTCGCCGAGCTCTTTCGAATGACATATAAATCATCGATTTTTAGATCACGTTACTAAAGTGCACTTTAGCCGTCTCTTATTGTTTTACTTATCTTTTTTAATTGAACTTAAGTTTAATGTTTTAATAAATAATATTGCATTATAATGTTTTATGTCAGTACTTTTCCTTAATTGTTTATAACTATGAAAATATTTAATTTTTTTAATTTTTAGAAATTGCAAATTTTGCAAGTAAAATGGTTACAAAATGGAAGCAAACAATTCGTGATGGTAACAAAGAAAAACAATTGAAACTTCAGCAGCAACAACATCAAGAAACTAAAGTAAAAGCTCAGAAGCCTAGTGGTGTTGGTGTAGCTGTAGTATCAGGAAAAAATGTTAAAAGAGCTTCAACTGAATCGGACGTTGGCGATGGTATTTTATTTAAATGACCGTTTTTAGTCTGATAGTGGGTAAACCCGAATGAAAAACAATTTTTGGGAAATATTGTTTTTCGTTAATTTTTTGATACGTTTTCAGTTTTTTTGAATCCTTTCACGGCATTTATTGCATAATTTACTTATCCCTTGGAAAATTTAAATTTCATTTGTGTTCAGGTCCTTCAACAAGCCAAACATCTGGCCAGATTAAACCAAGGACTGGTTCTATTTCTTCAGCAGCTACTTCTCATCAACAGCAGATTGGTTCTAGATCTAATTCTTTCAATGTACAAAACACTACGGGTTTAAACAAAACTGGTGAAGGTTCTATGAGTGCACCACCAAAACCTGAACGACCAAAAACAATTGCTAAGGCGAAGGCTAAAATATCACGTCCAAGACTTACCGGTATTTTTTATTTTCAATTAAAGGATATATTTCTTGTCCTGGGGATTTTTAGTGAGTAGAACTTGGAAAGATATTAGGCGATTCGAGTTTATGTAAGATCGGGGAAAACTTGTGGTTTCTTATGACTTATTTCTGAATTTTATCGGTAAATTAGTGGGCCAATGTAAAGAAATTGGTATTTTTTGTCTAGGGGATGTTTAGTCAGTAGTAATTTTAAGTATTTATTAAATACTTAAAATTCACTTAAATTATTTTTAATTATTTGATTAATGTAAGAAAGTCTCAAAATTTATTTTTTGTTTCACAGGTATGTTACAACTCGGTCATGATGTCGAAAAATACTACATCAAATTATATACTAAATTATTTCGACTTTATATTTTATTTTGTTCTATTTTCGTGGTGGTGATTTACCCACCGTTGATCTCCAAAAATCTTTTATTTAATCTTAATGTCCTATACAGCATATTTTGGTGTATAAATAGGTAAAATCAAAGCATAATTTCCTTGACCATTGCTTATTTTTCACTCTTGTTTTTTGTTTAAATTCACATAGGCTTTTTATGTTTATTATTAGGGTTCCTCTGCTATTTTATAATATATTTGAACGACCTGTGCTTATTATAATAAAGTCTACATTATAATGGAACCACTGCTTAAATTGTAAGTTTCTATTATTTGTAAATGTTTAAGATAAACTTATGGCGGATTATGTTGTTTACATGGTGCTCTACATATTTCAAAAGACGGCAAAGATGTTCAATTTTTAATTTTATAGTAGACTTTGTCATTTGGATTTTTGATGTCACACGTTTTCATTTAAATTTTAGAACCGGCTAAGGTCAAATATCAGCGATTTCCAAATGTTTGATGGTGGAGATTTCTGCGTTCTTTTTTGCAGTTAGATTTTTGTATCTAGTTTCTGTCGTATTCTATAGCACGTGAATTGTAAATTGATCTTATCAATCTAAATGCATTTTTATTCCTATTTATTATGAATTTTGTCCCTTTTGTGTGTAATCTGTCACCTCTTGGGCTTATTGTCATCACCACGAAAATGAACTTTTATTATACTAATTTAACTATAATATTTATAATACGCATTTTTAGGCCTGGAAGGAGACGAATCAGCAACTACGGTCAACAAATCTGTAGAGCGTTCGATCGGTACAAATAAGACTAAAACTTCGACAACAGTTTCCTCAAAGGCAGCCACTTCAACAACTGCTGCTTCTGCCCATGAGTCTCCTTTGGCGCGAATTATGGCTGCAACTGCAAAATTTCATGTTTGATTTTTATATTATTTCTCAGAATTTCTTATTCAGGCCGAGCAACAACCTAAAAGAAAGTCCGTGGAGGTTGTTTTTAGTGATAATTTCATGGACAGCCTTTCAGCTGCTGATGTTGCAAAGCCTAAAAAAGCCAAAATTGTGCGTAAAAAATTGAGTGAACAAAAAGATGATTCGACAAAGGTTTTTAGATTTTAAAAGGATATTTAATTTTTTATTTTAGTCCGATGTTCGCGAGTCTTATGCTCCAGTTGATGAGTATGAAAACAATCCTGAGGGTTCTCTTGCAAAGAAGCGTGTGCGATTTTTTGATGAAATTGGTCGAGATCTGGTTGATGTTAGGTTCTTTGAGGTTGAAGAGGGTGAAAGAAGTGGGTTTTTGTTTACCTTTATTAAATTACTCTAATAAGATTTTGGAATTTTAGTGCCTTAAATTTATTAATTTGACCTAAAACTCATTTATTTTTAGTAAATGTTTCGAAAATGGGTGGAATGGACAAAGAAGCAATTAAGCACCTTGACTCTCAACGTGAGAAACAATTCTTGTTGGATGCTCGGCGACATGGTTTTGGCTCGACAACACCAACCTCAAGTGGAGGATATAGTTCTGTGCTTATGGATCCGTCTTTGATGCCTCCGGGTCATGGCCGAATGTTTGGTGATCAGACTCGTCCTGGGGTCACATCTAATTCATTTAAAGTACCAGAGACGCGATATCCGGTTAATTTTTAATTTTCTGTTCTTTATTGTCTGATTTATTTTAAGTGGCGTTTGCTGCCTGTCGAATGTCAAACAATAATTAATATTGAGCCGGGCTGTAGAAGCGAAGCTAAAGGTATTGAATATGAACGTCAACGTACAATACTTCCTGCTCTTGTTTTGCCGACGTATGTCTAAAATTTATAAATTAAGACTGAATTAAGCTAAATATGATATTTTGGGATTTTTTGACAAACTATTGACTTTTTTCTGTTTCAACTCTAATTCATATTTAAATTTACTCATTTCAGTGCATTGCCAGTATCGGATATCGATGCCAATGAATTGAAACAACAGAGAGAAGAGGGAATGATGCAAATGCCGAAG